GAGCACAGGTTGAATGGATGCCGACGGTCTCTATTTGTAGGCCATGAGTTCTGATTTTGGGTTTTGGGAAAATACCACTCTATAGAAAAAAACCAACAACTTTGTATAATGTTATGATTGTGTTTTTGCTTTAAAATGTATACATTTACAAAATATATGCATAGATGTGGGTATATATGAATGAAAAAAGGAAGGATGCATACCAAAATGCTAAATGTCATCCCCAGTAGGGGGTGCGGATAGGGAAAGATTATGGGTGATTTTCTTCCTTTTTGTTGGTATGTTCTGTAATCCATAGATGTGACTCTTGTCAGAAGGATTACAATTTTTTGATTATTTTGTTTTTAAAAGGGTCACTATTCCACGTATTATTTTATTTGCCTCCCAAGTATTCAGTGATGGTGGTTCTAACATTATCCCCACTGTATGGAGGAGGAAACACACACAGCTCTGTGGCAGACTCAGGTCTCACGGTTTCATCGTCGGGCTACCTCCTCAGTACAAGGTAGAGGCGGTAGAGATTCCACACGTGGTCCTGGGAAGGGGTTCTGGTGTCTGTCCGCCCAACCCCTTTGGTTCACAGACTAAGGTTGAGACCCCAAGAGGGAAAAGTACCTGAGTGGGACACGTGGTTTTTGAACAAGGATACGTCCTTGGGCAAGGTCTGGGGATCAGAAGGCAGGACAAGGACCTGGCCTCCTCTTTGCCACAGGCCTTGACTTGATCTGTTGTACTAGACCTTTAAAAGGGCAAGGGGAAAAATGTTGTGATGTACAATGGTGAATACAGTTTCATTTTGTCTTTAAAAAGGTCACTTTGATATATGATCTATGTTGCCAAAATCACATTGCTTAGATTTTTTTCTCTTTAAGCATTGCAAAGTGCATGTTTTCTGTATCTTTTCTAAACTGATTTTTTCCTTTTCTTCATCTGTTTTTCCTTTTTTGAATCTTAGGCATATATCTGTTTATTTATAGCTAGTGGTCATTATGTTATGTGGGGTTTTACTTGTGTGTCTGAGTAGAGATCTTGTTTATACCCCCTGAGCCTGGTACTTAGTTACACGGAAAAGCGATGACTGGATTGTGGAGGTGGGGTGGAGGGAAGTCTGGGTCTAGCTCCGAAAAGCCTGAGGAGGGCACAGTGAGGAGCCGTGTTGCAGGATGGGGAATCAGTGTGTGGCCCTACCTTTAGCACTGTGGTTCAGAGGGGACTGGGGTTCCATTCAGTCAAGCCCCCAGCCCTCATGACACATACAGCAGTGCTGTCAGCCTTGAGGCCAGGAGCAGGGCATCTTATTTCAGAAGGAGATGGGCTTTGGAGTTTAATGGATCTGGGTTTGAATCCTGATCCTAAGACTGACTAGCTGTGGAATTTGAGGATAATTTCACTGTGCCTCAGTTTCATCTTCCGAAAGCAAGGGGTAATGATAATACTCACACTTTATAGAGTTGTTGTGAGGACTAAGTGAGGGAATACATGTATTCCTGGAAGAAAACCTGGCACATCGTAAGCACTGAATAAGTGTCAGCTATTATAATTATTAACAACAATAGAATATAATGTTCCTAGAAGAGAGCTTGGCCAATGGCATATCTTGGGATGTGTTTGCCCCCAGACAAGGTGTGACTTTGTTGCTAGTTTCTGGCAGCTATAACTGACCGCTTCTTAATGGGGCTCCCTCCTGGGAAGCTGCCTCATCACGTGGTGATCAGGGGCCTGAGCCATTCATTATTACATTACCTACCAAAGAAAAGGGCTTCCTCAGTGGGCAGTTTCCAGAGACTTTTGTGAGATTTTCATTTAGCACTGTGTTTCCTATTAGAAATGAAACAGTAACCACAGCAGGTAACCTGGAGTGTACAGTGCAGCCTTAGCCCCAGACAGCCTGTGTTTTTAAAGAGACTGAACACTTTTTTTAGATGTTTATTTAAAAAAAAAATTCAACAGAGCGTTAAAGCGATTTCTTACAGAAAGGAGAAGGGCCTTACTTTTTATTCTGTGGCTTGCTCCAGGTGGTAACTGCCCTGGACTTAACTGTGAACATTGACTCTGACCAAGTAACTCTTTGCCTTCTGTTCCTGAAGGTTCATAATCTGGGCACTGATACCCTTCTCCTAGGAGCCCTGTTTCTCTGGTCTTTATATTTGGATGCTGTTGTCTGGATTCTCAGCTTGTTTCCTCGGCCTCTGTCGAAGGTGGAGAAGTAAACGTATGGCAGCGGTCTCAGCACAGGGAACGACTGCGGCCTGGCCCATGTTCCCTGCGCGTGGGCTCGTGAACGCCGTGAGCCGTGGTCCGAGGGAGGCCTGCAGAGCCTCCTGTCTTTCTGCTGTCCTTGTGTGTGTGTGTCTCTGGGTTTTAGTTTCTGTTCACAGTTAACGGCTTGAGTTTTAATGAACATATTATGTCCCTGAGTTTTTATTCAGTTTGACCTTGGTTCTTGTTTAGATTACTACAGTATGCTAGAAAAGAGTTTTGGATTTGAAGCCAGAGAGAGAAGGGAAATCACATTTCTTAAGTGCTTACCCTTCATTGTTTGATTCATCTTCCTTAAGCTCCTACTGTGAGCCAAGTGTTGTGAAAGGCACTTCAGGGCAGTGGTTCAAGGACATGGGTGCTGGACCCAGGCTGTCTGGGCTGGAGACCCAGCCCCACAGCTTCAGTGGGACCCAGCAGTAAGTGGGGCCTTAACCACTTTTTATTTACCTTCTCTTCTGCTTGTTAGAATGCTAATAGTGTCCACCTGACAGGATTGTTTGGCAAATGAAATGAATTAATGTAAAGTGAGATGATGATGATGATGATGATGATGGGGACAGGTTGGGATCAGGACGCAGAACCACTTAGTTGCTCTCACACTGCTCACGGTCCTGCACACGTGTGTGTGTCTAGGACTGAGGCGCTGAGGCCTGATGTTGGCGTGTGAGGCAGGTGCATGTGATCGAGCACGGTAAAGCACATGGGTATTACTAAAGGAGAGGGCCAGGGCCTGGCCTGAGCACGCAGTGGGGTGCCCCGCCTCCCTCTCAGGGCAGAGAAGCACAGCAGGGAGAGTGATGTTTACGGAGGAATGAAAGTTAGCTGGGGTGGGGGCGGGGAGGGGAGGTTGTGTGTAGAGGAGCAGTGTATGTGAAGGCCTGCAGGGGACATCTCGGGGTGTTTAAGGAACTGAAGAAATCTAGTGAGGCCAGAGCACGGGGCGCTGGTGAGTGGGGCGAGACGGCACTGGCAACAATGAAGGAGAGACCAGGCCAAGGGAGATGTGTTGTGTGGAGGATTTGGGGCGACTAAAATACTGGTTCTTGCCAGATACCGCTCTTGGGGGTTTTCACTCATTACTTCAAGCATCACAGCTCTGTGATCTAGGTGTTATTAGCCCGTGTGGTTGATGGCAAAGTTCAGACTAAAAAAGTTTCCGCTTGCCCAAAGGCACAGACTTAGAGGGCTGTACAGTCAAGATCGGAACCTAGACTTCTCGGGCTCCACAGCTGGAGTTCTCTCCATGACACTGTACCTTCTGAACCTGAGGTCTGGCTGCTGGCTTTCGGACTTCAGGTTCCTCTCTTAATTTCCTTTCTCTTCAGTTTACTCACTTGTAAATAGATAACATAAATACCAGCCTCATAGGCTTGTGAAAATAAATGGAAACACACATGAAGTGCCAAGTATTGCACATTGTCTGGGATATAGTGAGTGCAACGACTTCCTATAGACCCAGGCTGCTGACAGAGGAACATTTTCCTTTCCTGGTCCCATGACCTGGGACAGAACCCCGTGAGCTGCCAGCTGCACCTGGCCTGGTTGTCAGCCATCTTTCCAAGGACCTGTTGAACTCCCAGTAGAAATCACCTTTGCACACAGGGGATCCGCAGGTCTCAGTACGGTGGGCTCTCCTTCTGCCCTGCAGCCTGCAGCCCTCTGCCCTTCAGCTGGCCGGTAGGAGTGACGCGAGGCTTCTCTAGCTCTCCCAAGCGTCCTTTCCCTCACGGGCTTGCTGTCATCCCTTTCCTCTTCCTCTAGAGTCCACTGGGCTTGTTCTGCCTACACCTTATGAAATGAGTGCTGTGCAGATTTGAATTGAACTTGACTTTGTCGTTGTTGTTTAACTTTTCTCATATTGCTCTCAAGGACAGATACTGTCTCGTCTCTGTATTTCCTATGGTGATTGGCACAGTACTGTCATAGGTACTACATAGATTACATTGTTTTCACTAGGATAGGGCTTGATGGATACCAAAGTTTTTTTGTATAGTTTTTTTTTTTAATTTTCACAACAGTCCTCTGAAGTAGATAGAGTATATAGCATTCTTTTTAGCACAACTGGAGAAACTAGAGCCTACACCTAAGCAATATGACTACTAGTTAGTTCTTTACCAAAGCCCGTAGGTGTGGAGACAGGTGTTCTGGGCAGCCCTGCAGCAGGAGGTGGCTGGCAGTGGGTGGTGGTAGAAGATAAAGATGGCGGTAACTCCCATTGGTGAGACCCTGAGGCCCCACAACTTAAGAGAAACCGAAGGTTCCTTCCTGGTTTCTTCCCCTTCATTCAGTCTCCCAGTCCCTAGCCCTTCCTCCCAGCGGTGTACACAGCCTGTACATAAACCACCTTGAAGCTGTGGATGGGCTCCCCTTTGCCCTGCTTCCTTGCACCCCCAGCTTGTCTGCACATGGATTTGTAATCTCCTTTTCATGTGAAAACACATCTTACCACTGAGTGACCTGCGACCTGACTACTTGGAAGAATAAAGGTTACCAGGTAAAAGGACATCTCTGTCATTTGCTCTCCATTGTGTGAGGTGACTGGGAAGGAACAAAGTCCATCTGTGACCAAACACATGTGTTCCTCCCTCGCCGGCAGAGTCACCAGAGGGGAGCATTAAATTGCTCTTCAAATGAGTCAGGCCTGTTGTTCCTGAGGAGACGGGGCCGGCGCAGCTTGAGCTCTGTGGGCAAGTCTGACCAGGCCCATCTCACTCTCGCTGTGTTTGTTTGCCTTGCAGCTGTGTAAATGAGTATGGAAGATTATGATTTCCTGTTTAAAATTGTTTTAATTGGCAACGCTGGTGTGGGGAAGACGTGCCTAGTTCGACGGTTCACTCAGGTAAGAGGACTCAAGAAGTCCAGGATTGGCTTTCTCACTCTGGCCTGCGGGGTTAGGAGAAGCTCATAGGATGAGTGGCTGGCCCAGCGCCAGCCTCTTGGCTGCCAGTTACCAACACAGCCTTTGAAGGGGCAGCAGCTGGGAAACGTAGACTAGAGCTCTTTAAACCACTGCACAGGAGCGAGGCTGCGTGGGTCCCCCCCACACCCCCGTGCCCCTTGTCTCGTCCTTCACTGATCAGGGCAAGTCGTTTTGCTTCCAGGGTGCAATATTAAAATTAGATTATTCAATTAGTAAATAGATTATTAGTTAATCATAATCCAAAAGTGGAAACAAATGAATCTGGACATCAAATTAAACCTAAATATTAATTTAAAAATGTAAATATAAACTAAACCAATGAACTCCCTGCCTACGCCCTCTCCAGTCCTCCCAGAAAACTGAGTGAATCATATTGGGTCAGTACCAAGTATGCTGATGTTTCTAGATCTGTTAAATAGGAATGAAATGAGAACAGCGAAGGACTATTTGAACCAAGTCAAATGTCCTCTCTCTGGGTTGAGTCCTCATCTTATGATCTAGTACAAGTTTCCTGTGGGGCTGCCCTTTTGAGCATTACTGCCAGAGATTATATACTTGTTTTACAGAAATGGTGGGAAATCATTCCAGGATTGGCCTTCTTTTGTACTTTTCTGGAAAAGACATAAATGGCATGCTTTCTGGTGTTGTGCAAGTATCTTGCATTTTCATGAAGTGCTGGTTAGGAAAGTTGGAACTAGCTCTTCTGTCTGAGGCACAGGGCAACCCGGTGCCCTGGACAGGACATTGGCTTGAGAGTCAGGACACAGGACCCAGTCCCAGCTCCAGCCCTGGCTCCTCCATGAGCTGGGTGGGCAACCCATCCTCGCTGGGCCTCCCTGATGCACATGGGGTGGTCTCCAAGGCACTGTGCAGCGATGGCAGTCTGGGGTTCTGCGGAAGACTGGAGAGGCAGATTGGGTAAGACGAACAGCTTTAGGACAGAGAATCCATCACCTTTGGAAAAGCCTGGGTTTTCCCCACGATGGTGGGCATGGTAGGACTCGTGCTTCTCCTGGGTCGTACGTAGCCTGGTGGAATTGAAGGTAACAAGTGGACACACCTGGGATCAGTCAAAGCCACCACGGTGTATACTGGGCACTCCAACTGGTTTTTCTGCCACCTAACATTGGCAGCCTTTTCTGCTTTCGGCAGGAGAACAGGGCAGACAGGAGAGGTGCAGAGGAATCTTTAGTCCCCTTTTCAAAAATTCCTTTGACTTTGTCTCATTACTGAAGATTATTCAGCTCACTCCTCTCATTTTATGGATGAAAAACTCAGGGGGATGAGATAACTCCTCAGTACCTCATGTCATGTTAGCGGCAAGGCTGGCATTAGAACCCAGGTCTCCTGCTTCTCAGCCTGATCATTTTTGTCTTCTGCGGGTTCTAACCTCTGAAACCATAGGACTTTTGCATTTCTTTTTCAAAGCATAAACCTTGTCTTTAGAGGTAAAAATGCATTCATCTTCAAATACTAATTTTTATCAATACACACTCTATCCCTTATTTTTCATTTTTGTCTACTTTTTACCACTCCCAGTCTCTCAACTCCCCCCTCAAAGTTCATATTTCATAGAAAAGATTGTGTTTGTTTTTGTTATTTAGTAGACAGTTAAAATGAATTGGATTCAGCTGTTTTTGAGGCATGAGGAGTTGGGGAACAGAACAGAATGATGGAAAAGACACTGGGAAGGATTTGTTTTAATTTTTGGCATTTGTTAGACTGCAAAACAGCTGGAGCTGTAAACTTGAAGCTTGGCAGCCTTGTGTTTGAGCCAAACCAAAATAGAAGAAAATTGATTCAATATTTGTAAGTAAAGTTATGAATGTTTATGTTTACATCTTTTGCAGACATGCAATGGAACATTTTCTGTTGGTTTGAAGCTGCCTTTTAAGTTTAAACATTAATTAAGAATGCTTTTGTTAAGGAATGGACTTAATTAAAGATGGCCCAATCTTAGCTGCCAGAGCTAATAAAGTCCATTTTACTTTACTTTCTGGAGATCCTGGAATGTAAGTGAATAGGGAAGAGAAACTAGGTGAAATGTGCTTTCTTCATCGAATTTCTTTCTACCTCCACCTCCCTCTCTAAGCTTAGAGGAAATAGTTTGTAATATTACACATGTGATTCTGATGAAGTCTTTCTTGTATAGCTTCCAGTTTGAGGTAAAACTTTAAAAAAATTTTGTAAATGTTTTTATTATTTATGCTGTTACAGTTGTTCACACTTTTTTCCCTTTCCCCACCTCCACCCAGCCCTACCCTTGCCCCTTCCCAAGTCAGTCCCCACACTGCTGTCCCTGTCTATAGGTCGTGCACAAATGTTCTTTTGTTAATGCCTTCACCATCTTTCATCCCATTTTCCCTACCCCCTCCTTTCCGGAAGCTGTCAGTCTGTTTTATGTATCTAAGCTTCTATTACTATTTGGTTTGTTAGTTTATTGTGTGTGTTAGATTCCACATAGAAGTGAGATCGTGTGATAGTTTTCTGTCACTGGATGACTTAATCCATTTAACATAATTTTCTCCAGGTCCATCCATGTTGTTGCAAAATGTAAGAGTTTCTTTCTTTTTTTTTTTACTACTGCATAATGTATCTGTTGTGTAAATGTATCATAGCTTAAAAGTTCGACTTAAAGTCAACTATCAGTAGATGAGTGAGGTGAAACTTTTTTTTTGTTTTGAAATGCTTCTATGAGCCTCAAACTCATTGAATTAAGGCCCAGAGAGGGGAACTGGTTTGCTTGAAGTCACACAGAGATCCTGAGGCTAATACCTACTGGGTTAGTGCTATTCCTACTGGACTTTCTCCCTGAATGACTTTGTTTTCCTCAGTTATCTCCCCGGTATCACTGGCCCTGATCTCATGTAATTACATCACCTCAGGGCACAGGGAAATCCAAAGGCTTCATTGCCTCCTTCATTTTCCTCATACTGACTGCTTGTTTGCTCATGTTGGTTGTCCTCCCCCGTGGCTGTTCATGCCCTAGTTTTACTCTTCCTTGATTTTACCCCTTTTAGAGAGCCTACCCATTTTGTGCTCACCCCAGCAATCCTCATCTCATCCCTGTGGCTCCAGGCTTCTCAATCTTATACTTGTATCTGATTTTTCTGTTTCATTTTTTGAAATTGGATCCCCCTGCCCTTTCCAATTTTCTTCCCTCACTCTCTGTCTTCTTCTTCCTTATTTGTTACCCTTTCCCTTTCTTTCTTTTTTCTTTCAGAATTTCTCCCTCTTTCTTCTTCCTTCCTCCTTCCCTCAAAACATATACGTACATGCAAAGTTAAATTAAAACAGGGATCTAAGGACACAAACCAGAGTTCTTTTCTCTACTAGTTAACTCAACCAAAGGAAGGGACTGGGAATGGGTAGTGATGGGGGAAGTGGGAGAATTTCATTTAATTGAAATATTTGCTTAATTGTTATTTTCAATTATTTTTCCTTTAGGGTCTTTTCCCCCCAGGTCAAGGAGCCACAATTGGAGTTGACTTTATGATTAAGACAGTGGAGATTAATGGTGAAAAAGTAAAGGTAAGATGCTAAGTTTTCAATAAGGCTTTTGTTGTGCTGTGTGAGAGAAAGTAGTGTTTTCATAACATTTATCATATCTCTTAATTGAAAACCACATTGAAAATAATATACTCAGCTATGGTAGCTTATTTCTAAACATTCCCTTTGTGGGGGCAGGAAGGAGTTATGGATGATGTGTTTATAGATGGGAAGACAGAGAAAGAAGGGCAAAGGCAAGGTTGTAGTGACTCCTGTGATGTCAGAGGCGATGTAAAAATAAGCAAGGAATTTCTTGTTGGGATCTCCTGAGCTGGGCCAGGAAGTGGTGCTACCTCCTATGAATAGCAGCCCCCTGAAAGAAGTGGTGGATTCCTATATTGGTTGTGGGTTACTCAGTCAGATGGGTCATTCGCCATCTCCCATCATACCCCTGTTCCTAGCAAGGGGGAAATACTGCAGGAGGATTCCATGAGTTCTTCCTTCCACTTTGTGACCTCTGGATAATTTGGCACCTGTAAGAACTATGTAGTCCTGAGGGAGTAGTGCTTATCGAATACCCAATATGTGTTAGTCCCTCTGCTAGGTGCTTTTGCATGAGTTGCCAGGTAAATAGTAAATTATCTTTATTCAGAGAGATTGAGTGACTGATCTGTGGCTTCACAGTTAGGAAGAGAGGTAGGCAGGATCCGAACCAGTTTTGTGGGCTAGTGCACCCCATTGTCTTCCTGGAGTCTCCCCTGCCATGAAAGGAGGGGGACATGAAGGCACAATAAGTTTGTCACCTTGGAGCAAGGAAAGAAAGATGGATGGTGAAACGAGACTAAATCACACACAAGGAGGGCAGAGAGACATGCCCCTTAGAGTTGGTGAAATCCCACTCTCAGATTTTCCGGACCTCAGGCCGATGGAAAGTAGCCACAACCCTGGTGGAAACTAGCACCAGTGTCCTGGCTAGCTCCCAGCCTAAGCATCCCAAGTTGGAGCCCATGGCATTTACATCCTTCTCCTACATGCACTGCGTTCCGGTCTTCACATGCTGTGGGAAGGGCATAGAAGTTCCCAGGTGCTCCTGCAGCATTTCAAAGACACACAGAGAAGTGTTTTGGACGAGGTTCCTGAGTAGGGACACCAGCACTCCAGTGGCTCGTCCAGGTGTGACTCCAGAGTGGCTCCTTGCTGTACATGTTACACCCAACACAATAGTGATGGAGAGCTGGGGGCTCTGGAAAACAAAAACAGGGTGCAAAATCCAGATAAATGCCAACTGGAAAGCTCACAGAAATACTGCGTTAGTGTGGGGAGAAGGCACTAGGGTGTAGGGGTCGAGGGAGACAGGAGTGGGCACTCCCAGGTGTGGGCAGGAGTAGCCACTTGTGGCTCGCTATTGTTCCGGGGGAGTGGAGGTGTTCACCGTGTGGAGGAGCTGAGTAGAGATGACTACTGTTTCGGGCATTTTATTTGCAAGTGTCTAGGTTCCCCCTTTATGTGCATGTATTTGTGTGTGACACTTCCTCTCACTGGAAGTGTCAGTGCCTGTCGTGTGCCAGGCCCTGGGAGTAAGCAGGGCTGAGTAAGAAAGGGCCCATGCTATTAAAGAGCAGGCTTACTTTTCTGAATCCTCAGGTTTAATTACTAGATTTATTCCACTTCCTATGAACCATGACCTCATTTTTAAGTGCTCAGCTAGAAATCCATCTTTTTATAACATCTGACTCTGTCATGAGACCACAGGCTGCCCAAGAGCAAGGTTGTGTCTCACTCATCTTCGTATTCACAGCGAGGTTCCTGTTGCTATCACCTGGTCAGGCCTCTAGACCTTCATCCATAAAAAGTGAGGGTTGGCTAATCTCCCAGATGAAGTCCTAACCCATTTGCCTGTGATTCCCTCTGGCCATGTATGTAGAATCAAAGCACAAAATGGCCCTTTCCCACCACATTAATCCAAGGGCCTCATTCAAACTGGACCCATGGGGCACACCTTCTTCAGTCTTTCAGTGGAAGAGGCAGAGCGGCCCAAGCTTTGCTAAGGAAACACGTGCTGTGTTATTGTTGCCCTTGTTCCTGAACATTTACTGGCACCTCCTTCTGGTGATTAAGTGTCTGTTTTGCTAGTAGTTTGCAGGTTTGCTCTGAGCCCCATAGAGACCATAGAAAAGAGACCACCGCCGGGCGCATGGCAAGCAGGACCAGAACCCTGGTCCCTGCTGACTTCTCATCCAAGCCCCTCCCCGACAAGCCTCAATTATTTCTAAGAGGGCTCCCAGGATTGAGGACAGGGAATCAAAATTAGAAAGATTCTTATAGCTATTAAGGCTTATTGCTAAACAGTAAAGGCAAAGCTGAGGAAGAGGCCCTTTTCTTAAGATACTGTGCTGGAGTAGAAAATATAATTAAAACATACATAGAATTTTCTTTTTCTTTCCATTGATATTTTAAGTCTATTGTAAATAAATGAGTAACGAGTAAAACTGTAAGCTGTTCTAAAAACCTTTTAACTTGAGGAGTTTCATTATAGCAATAAAAGAGTTTTGGGATTTCTCTCCAATCAGGTATATTTTGTACAGACAGGAAAGTCTTGAAAGTACGCACATGTATTTGCTCATTTGACCATCTATCCATCCACTTACTTATCCATCCTGTCATAGTAGATGCTTTGTTCCAAGCCTGTGTTAGGTAAAACACCTTTGCTCCCTAGTAACTCATTACCATCTATCTCACACATTTTATCTGTGGGAACTTCTTCAGTACCCACTAATCATTATGCAGAACTAATCCTTCCCCTGTAATTCTGCAGCCTTTGTTACTCAGTTAGCCCTTGTTCAGACGGTCCGCTGCGCACCAGAGACCTTGTTGGGAAGGCAGGGAGTACAAAGTTAAGTAAGAAACAGTCCTCACCCTTAAAGAACTCAGTCTAGCAAGGAGGCACTCCGGTGAACCAATGATTGGAGTAGGTTATTGTGAGGGTGAGACAGCAGAGGTGTGAGGAGTGGTGGAAAGAGAGAGAGGAAGATGAGCGGTGTAGCCCCATGCTGGGGGCCACAGTGGCCAGAAAGCCCATGGCTATGGTACTGAGCACAGGACTGACTGGCAGGAGACTAACACCAGGAGACGTTTTCTCCTGCTGGTGCCTCGTAAAAGGACATCTCATGTTTTATATTATGGTTAGTTAATATTGTGTCTCACCTCCTTGTAGACTGTGAACTCTTTGAGGTCAGGGATTGTGTTTTATATCCCTGTGCTTGGTACAGTGCTCTGCATATATTAATGAGACATAAATGCTGAAAAGGAGCAAATGAATTGCAGAGAGAAGGGTGAGGCTGAGTTGAATGATAAAGGCAATGGAATATGGATATCCTTGAGACTCAACGATAAGGCTAGACATAGGTAGCTTCCTATGAGAAAGCATCTTGGCAGGGCAATAGTCACCTTTTAAAGAAAATATTTCAGTGGCTTTAATTCTCAAAGCCATTTTCAAGATGTGCCCGTCCTAAAAACATACTGATTTCTAATGACTGACAGTATTAAATCCCTTCACAAGTGCTTTTAGAGGCTCAATGTGGCGTTAAAACAATAGTCTGTTAAAAAACAAAACAAAACTATAGTCTGTTGTTCTAAGGTCCTGGAAGAGGGGAACCATACCCCTACATTTGGGGCAGAGCAGAGAAATAACTTTTGTCTGGGCACCTGCATGGTCACCTGCAGCATCCACAGACTCTCGTGTGCACCGTTGAAGAGCAGCTGCAACTTCTTGACATTCATTGGTGGCAGGGACGACCTACCCGCCACTCATCAGTTTCCTCAGCTAAACTGGTGTGAGCAGAGGGTGACCCCAGCTGACTCATCCTGTCTGGATGCCAATACCCATTTAAATCAGTCTCCCGGAGCGAACACAGCACAGCGACCTGAAATGCATGCCTACTTGCCAATGAATGAGAAGGCCTGGAGCCCGGGTCCCAGCTTTGTGAGGAACCATTATGTGATGGAGCTCCCTGTTCATGGGGGGCAGGCCTAAACTTGCCTAACCCACTGGACTGCTGTAGGGTTTAGTCAGATTGTCAATAAACACCTAAACAGCCTACTATGTGCCGGACACTTTATTTGGTGTAGGGGAAACTGAGTAGAATGGATGCTGACTTTCCCTTCATGAAGCTTTCCATTGAGTGAGGAAGACAGCCATTAAACAAATGATTACAACTAAATAAGTGATTCAGATGTGTCAGGTGCTAGGAGGGAGAATTACAGGGTGGGCCACAGGAGAGGATATGTGGGGATGGGGTGGGGTGGGGTGGGGAACCTGGCCCAATCTGAGGGAACCTTCTCTGAGGAAATGATGTTCTGCTGATGGGGGTGAATGCATTTTGTGATGTGTGAAATTTATGCAATTAGAGGGGAAGATTATTATTGTTGTTATTTCTCAAGGCCTTCAGATTTGTTCTGCACTGAGCAGTCTCTCTGGAGAACAGTTCTCGCCCAGTATCTTCTACTCGGGGCAGGGAAATTCAGGGAGAAGTCAAAGTGTTTTGCCTTTTTCTTTGTAATTAGGACCATCAGTTATCAAGTCATGGAACTGGTAGATGACTTCAGAAAATGTGAACTTTCAGCAGGCTTACGTGTTTGCTAACCTTTTCTTATAAAGAAACCACTGAAGCCTAAAGAGACTAAGTGGCTCGCTCAAGGTCACAGAGCAGAAGTGGTGGAAGAAAGTCACTACTTTCATCTGCCGTGGCATTGTTCCTGTTTTCATGAACAAAGATAGCACCTCAGTATATTCATTTGAATTTTGAACTGGTAAAGGTGGTGAGGTTGGATTTTCTCCCCCCCCCCGCCCCCCATTGCTGACTGAAATACCAGCAGTCACAGAATGACAGCTTGCCCTGTGTCCTGACTGTCATGATACGGCATCGTGGTGACGAGAGCTGACTCGGGGACTATTTTGCCTGGCTGAACTGGTGCTGGGACATGCTTGCTGTTAGATGCTGAACAACTTAATTAATGTCTCTGTGCCTCATGTGAGAATCGGATACAGTAAAAGTACCCACCTCATAGCTATTGTCAGGATTGAGAGTTCTTATAAGTCAAGTGCTTAGAATAGAGATCGACACATAATAAATGCTCAAAGGCACAGGCAACAGTGTGGTGTTAGCAGGAGGGAAGAGGGTGGGGGTAGGTGGAGGTGGGCAAAGGGGGGGATGGGATAGAAAGAGACTTTGGGGTGGTGGGCGCACAGTGCCTTGTGCAGATGATGTTTGTTGAGTTGTGCACTTGAAACCTGGATGGTTTTGTGAACCAGTGTCACCCCAATAAATTCAATAAAAGAAAAGAAAAAAAAGAGTAAAGGGGAAACTCTTAAATAATCTGACAAAGGAAAAAAAAAAACCCCAAAGCAATGCCTGGCCCTAATTAGACACACACAACAGATTTTTAAAAAACTACAAGTGCTTTTTTATTAGGGCAGAAAATAACTATGACATTATTTGGGTGAAGGTGTTTCCACTTCTGAACTAAAGTAAAGCACTGCTTTCTTTCTTTGCTGCTCCCCAACCTGATCCTTCTCGTGTGCCTTACAGCTTCAGATCTGGGACACCGCAGGTCAAGAGAGGTTTCGGTCCATCACTCAGAGCTATTACCGAAGCGCCAATGCCTTGATCCTCACCTATGACATCACCTGTGAGGAATCCTTCCGCTGCCTTCCCGAGTGGCTGCGGGAAATAGAACAATATGCCAGCAACAAGGTCATCACTGTGCTAGTTGGTAAGTAAGGACTAGTGAGGAGAGAAGTCAACTTGGGGGCATCAGAGAATTTATAATCTCATAAAGCTTGTGCCTTGGCACTTTTCAAGAATGTAGTCTACAGCTGTATAGTTCAAGCAGTCAACATTCAACTCTGCAATCGAAGAGGAAATGAAATAGGTCCTATCCCACGGTGATGGTTTGGAAGAGTAAAGTAGGAAACATTGCTGATTGAGGTTTCTGTCCACGGAGGCTCCAGGGAAGAAGGCCGACCGCCACGGAGTCCTGTGGCTGCCCAACATTCTTTTAAACCTGACTACGAGATCATGAAGCTGGCGGTCTAGGGGTAAAATATATCTCTTAAGTTGATAAGGAATTCATCAGTGAAGCGATTGTTTTTTTGCCTAAAAAATGGACTTAGGCTAAGTTTTTCCCTTCTTACATTTATGCTGACTTGAGAAATTCTAATTTTCAGAAAGAATCTACTAAGGGAAATTCTGTAGTTTGTGTCATTTTGTAGGAAGGTAGAACCTGTTTCGTGTGGGGGAAAAGCAGAATACAGCCTGTGATTTTCTGTGGTGACAAATACACCCACTGAGAATGGAATTGCAGTGAGATACCAGATCATTAAAAATCCCACTAGTGGTGATGGGAAAATGTTAATAATATATGATGTTTGAAATGTTTTCTCCTAAGAAGGAACATTACTTATATTTTAGCAAGACATGATTTGAAAATCTGGGTAGACAGCCTCACAGAATTCCCAGGCCAGGTGGGAAAATGTTGCCAAGTACCTGGCTGGCATAGCTCAGTGGATTGAGCGCGGGCTGGGAACCAAAGTGTCCCAGGTTCGATTCCCAGCCAGGGTACATTCCTGGGTTGCAGGCCATAACCCCCAGCAACCGCACATTGATATCTCTCTCTCTCTCTCTCTCTTTCTCCCCCACTCCCTCCCTTCCCTCCCTAAAAATAAATAAATAAAAATATTAAAAAAAAAAAAGAAAATGTTGCCAAGTAACATGGTTGACATCACCTTTGTCGGATTTCACACAAAATGGAGGTAGAAATTTTTTTAAAGATAAAATAAATCGTGAATTATTCATGCTGATACTTCCATCTATAATTTAGAACTTTAGAACTTTTACTTAACCTCATTAAAAGTTTTTTTAAGATTTTATTTATTTTCAGAAGGCAGGGAAGGGAGGGATAAAGAGAGGGAGAGAAACATCAATGTGTGGTTGCCTCCCAGATGGCCCCAACTGGGAACCTGGTCCACAACCCAGGTGTGTGCCCTGACTGGGAATTGAACTGGTGACCTTTTCACTTTGCAGGCCGCTGCCAGTCCCCTGAGCGACACCAGCCAGGGCTTAACCTCATTGATCTTATATCTGTAGTTCCTTTTCCTCGTGCCAAAAATCCCTGTCCCAATGACACCTACATAAGTACTCATTTGCCTTATCCCCAAAAAACGTTCATAGCAGCCTCAGAATAACAATGTCAGGACTGCCACTGACAAGATGAGTACTGCAGCAATTCAAGATTTTCTCCCTTCAACTCTTTTCGTTCTTGGGTATACAAGTATATGTCTGGGGATGCATAGCTCAGTTACCGTCTCCTCAACTCACGTGGAGCCGTTACTCCGTGTGGTTATGCCACTTCATGATAAACAGGTCCATTTGTTTAATTTGCTTCAATTTTAGGAATTGCTTTTAAACTTTAATTTCATATTATATAATTATAATTAATTATATAATTATGTAAAACATTTAGATTCTGAAGTCAAATCTATAAAGTAAGGTATATTTAGAGAGGTCTAGTTTCTATTCCTCCCTATCCCTTAACCTTATTCGTTTAGTGGGTAACCATTATCTTTAGGATTTTGGTTTATTTTCCCATTAAAAAATAAGCAAATAAACTGTGTGTATATTTTTAACCTTGTCCTTAGACAGTTGTGAATTATACACACTTCCTTCTACTTTGCTTTATTTACTTAACAATACATCCTAGTGTCTCACTTCCTGGCAGCATATAGAGATATTTTTTATTGCTTTTTGCAGTGGCAGATAACTCCAAATAACAATCAGTGTATGATGGTGTATTTAGCCAGGGACCGACTGATGGACATTTGGGCTGTTTCCAGTTCTGTGCCATTACAGATGGCACTGGTATTTAAAGATAAACGTTCCAGTAATTACACTCCCATTTGCTTGGCTTTACTTGACCATTGCCTGGTTTGACTATAGATATGGAATTGGATTTTGATGTTTGCAAGCCTACAAAAAGCCAAATGATGATTCCTTCTGTGATTTTACCCCTGTTTAGGCAACAAGATTGATTTGGCTGAAAGGAGAGAGGTCTCCCAGCAGAGAGCTGAAGAATTCTCAGAAGCCCAGGACATGTATTATCTGGAGACCTCAGCCAAGGAATCTGATAATGTGGAGAAACTCTTCCTTGACTTAGCATGCCGTCTCATCAGTGAAGCCAGGCAGAACACCCTTGTGAACAATGTATCTTCTCCTTTACCTGGAGAAGGGAAAAGCATCAGTTATTTGACTTGTTGTAACTTCAACTAAAGGCTGAGGCACGGAGAAGCAAAAGGAATCAGCAGCTGCCCCAATGGGCCACAGATTGCTGGGGAGACCTGGAGGTGACAGTGGCTCCTGTTCTCGGACCTTCTGACTCCTGAGTTTACAAAGCATGGCAGGCCAAGGGCCTGGGCCACAGGCCGGCATTAGCAGAACATATAATGGTTTCATCCTTTTGCAGTCTGGAGGCAGAGCAAGGAAAAGATTGCACTGGGCACTCCATGACCTGCAGAGCATGTTGCTTTTGTTTTTTTAAAAAGCAAGCAAAAGCGCATTCCTGAACACAGTCCGGAGAAACCCCTCCTGCCCGTCAGTGGGTGCATGTGGGGGCTGTTCTTTTTAGGGCTTTTGGGGGCCTTGGTTTTCTTATCCACCAGATAACCAAAACTGGGAAGGCCAAGTACTGTCTCCGTGGTGCGTGTTAATGACCCCATGGAGATTTTGAAAAGTGTTATTTCTCTTGTCCACAGGCACTTTCAAGACCTTTGGGATGTAAAAAAATGAAATGAAACCTTTACCCATGACCAACAGTTAACCATTATTGTTTTAATAATATATACAAGCTCCACAACTCCTTTTGGTGCTAATGATTCTGCTATTTCACAGACCAAATGTCTTAGTACATTTATGTCCTTAAATGTATTTCATAGAAATAAAAAAAATAAGGGAAGTCCATGAATCAGCACTCTTTTTCAAAGTCTCATCATACCTTTTCTAGGGTGGATTTACTGGAAAAGAGAATACTTCCTTTTACGTTCCCCTCTAAATCTTAACCATTGTTTCATCTTTCCTGTCCTTTAAGTAAGTGAAAAAAAAAATGAAAAAATAGTGGTAGATAATATTCTAATATAAAAGATTAGCTCTAAGACATTACAAGTGGGTTTGAGAAAACAGATCGGATCTGACCAAAATACTGTGGATGCCTGGACTGCAGTGGAGAGTTTCAAGCAGAGCACAGCCCTGGGCGCAGCCGTGTCTGCTCTCCGGCACTATTGATCTTGGACAGACCAAGGCCTAGGATTTTGTAGGTTTTTAGTATAAGTGAAAATAGCAACAGATGCAAATTCTCACAAACCATTTTTGTATCTTCAATGATAACCTTAGAAAATATCTGCTCGTGGAGGCAGGTTCAATCGTCATTTGTCACCTCTTTTGTGTTGTAGTGTTACCTTCGGACATGCATTCTTTCCTGTTTCTTTTTTCCTCTCTTTCTTTCCTGGCCTCTCCCTTCTTTTCTGCTTCCCTCCCTCCCTCTTCCTGACTGCCCCCTTTCCTTATATGCATGTGTTACTGCACACCTCCAGTTCAGATGGAGGTGTATATGCCTTTACTTAGCCAATTTTAAACCAGGACTCAAAAATGGAAGACATGCTGCTGAATATGTGTTATTTCTTCAGTGCCATAATTTGATACCATCCAATTTGTTTACTGATATTAATGCAAATTGGAAAAATAAACCTGAATGTGGTCAATGCTCTCAGATGTTTATGTAGCTTGCTGCTTAGCATAATTGAGGGATGAGTAATGGAATAAGGATATAATATGTAATCCCGCTGTTTCTGTGGATGGAGGCAATCTCGGTCCTGATATGTTGATGTTTGAAAGCTAATTTTAAAGCAGTGAGTCCTGTAGAGATAAGGTATTGATAAAGCATTTCTAGCATTCTCTAGCAGGTTTCAGGGTGAGCCATCCTTGCACATGGGGACTATACATTATTCTTTAAGGGACTGATGCTTTTGGCTGGCCCCACTGTTTGTCCTGATCATATGAGTAAGAGAGAGCCCAGAAGTTGGAGTTGTTTTTTATTTTAGAACCTCTCTCTACAGAAAAGAAAAATCATTTTAATAAACACTAAGCAAAAGAATTTACAACTGTTGCCTTTTTTTCCCTCATCTTTCCCACTAAGACAGCAACTACAGGTATTCAGGTTACACAGGAAAACAAGTGGACCAAGTCGGGCAGAAGAACTCTTTTTAAACTGTGAGGAAATGTGCCTAAGTTTAGATTTATTATCTTTTAATTAGGGCAAAAATCCAATTACCCTCGTACATCATGACCCAACTTTGTCTGACAGCAGCAAGTGTGTTGAAAATCAAGTTGCTCTGTGAACTTGAAAATAGGACTTTTGTTAGATTGGACAAATGTATGTAAAATAACAGCTTTTAGAGTCACTCTTGCATTCTGAAATTCTTATTCCCTAAGGCTCACCCTCCTCTATCTGTCACTGGCTGCACTTATGAGGGGATCAGAAAGCTTTGCCCCTGGCCCCTTCCCTGGTACTCCGTCCAGCCTTTCTGTAACTTAGTCACCCACCGCGGCCCCTCGGCAGGACACAGGAGAATGTGGGCCTCCCCCCCACCCCTTAGTTGTGTGAATTCCAGATTAGGCTTTATGGACATTTGGTCACTGATGTAGCTCCAGTTTGAAAACAATCCCTGACAATATTGTAGGGGCTTAATAAGTATAGTCAAATAAATAAATTAGTGCCAAGAGGAATGGTTAAATAGAAATTGCTCAAAAAAACTCAGGCCAGGACCTAAACTTATTTCTTTGGCTACTAGTTCTTGTCATGGTAATATTTGCTAAGATGAGTCTTCTTAAATAAAAATGAATTCTCATTTAATGGTGAATGAAAAAGGAAGTAGCTTTCTCATAATTCAGTTTGGCTTAACCTGGGTCATAAGACTGTCAGACTCCATGTCTACTTGCATTTTTGGTGTGATCTTTCTTCTTTTATTAAAGTTACTAAATATATGACAATGTATCATATTCATGTCATGAATCTGGTTTGGGAAAATCTGTGAAATCATATACCTTGGTGATATTAATGATTTATTATGGCTTTGTGTAGACTGTATCCTGAAAGGATTTTGTGCTTTCTCCTTTACCTGTGCAAGGCTTTTTATTTCTTTATATGCCTTTATTAGACATATTGAATTATGTTAACATTTAATTTTGATTATACAGGGCCAATTATCCTTTCTGTGGATTACTTAAATTAGCCTATTAGCTTTTCCTGGACTTTCTTTTTCCCTTTTAGTCATTTTAAGTTCTGTCTCATTCCTGAGTAAAGTAGCAAGAAAACTAAAAGTGGAAGTCAAATGGATTGATTTAACAATGTGTCAGTTCCTGATTTAGGATTTGGTAAAAGCCACTGGCAATAAGATATTTGGATTAGGATTATTTATTTTAAGCAATTTAGACTTCTTGGAGGGTAGGGGGAGAATTTAATAGAAAACTGGACTCTTCTGTTCGTGAGTGCATGCCCTTGGAGGACAGTGATGACTTCCAGTGTTCGATCAATGATTTCCTTCATTTGCCCTTTTAGCTATCCCATAGTTCTTCCAGATTTAGCATCAGCTTTCAGATAATGAATTGTTCTGAATAAGCATCAGTTGTAAGTGATTTTGAATTGGTCTTCTAGGATTTGCCCTTTCTTTCATCTAGAATTTTTTTTTTTAACTGCAACTGGTTACTTACTTTCCTCATTCATGGCCCAGACAGACATGTTTAATGCAAGTATAATAATACTTTTAAGATTTAACCAGAACATCAAAAGTAGTAAAAAAAAAACATGCATATCACATCTTTCAGACATAAGCAGGATAGTTCACTAATTTTGGGATAAGAAATGGATATGTTTGCTTCTTTTCAGCTTTCATTTCTGTCACAGGAGCCTACTTGTGTTCGCAAGGAACACTGCTTTCCCTTACATCCTTCACATTGGGTGGAAAGCACACTGAGTTAAGAACTTGTCATCTCTTCAGACAACTATTAATATCATAATGTTAGACCCAGGGAGATGACATGTCATCTCCTTTCCTAAGTCCATAACACTGGAATGTTGTAAGCCATAGTTTGACATTAAAAACAAATTGAAGCATAAAAAAAAGATGGTTAAGGGATTTAAAGTTTAAGACATCTGAATATTTGAAGGATTTGGGGAGATACAACTTGGGGAGGAGAAATGCAATTAGTGTATTAGAGCAAGACTCTGTGGTTCAAAGGGGTGTGATGAGGCCTGTTAAACAGCGACCAGAGGGTTCACCATGATGGTGCTGCTTCAGCACTGGGCCCTGTCAAGCAGACGTTAGGTAAGAACTCAGCAAAGGTGACGTAGAGAGGATCCCAGAAGTGATCAGCCATCGGACCAGATGACCTATTAACTTAAAATTTTATGTTGCAGTGCTTTGCTCCTCATAACACATTCAATTAAATGTGTTGGCCTATACAGATAACAGTTTTAAAAAAAAAGGCTGCCAAAAGTGCACCCTACCCCCCAGGAGGGAGGTTGGTTACACGTTGTTAGGCCAGAGCCTACTTGCCCTTATGCCCTAGGCTAAACTCCTTTGTCAGTCCATTCATTCATGTCCTGTGGAAATCACAAACTTCAGTTAAAATTTTTTTTAAAGGTGGTGTTTTACTAGAAGTTACATGAAATCATGAAAATTGTGTATTTGTCACTTGCCAAAACTAGATCAGGCTCAGTTTGGTGGATAACTGGTGTTCTTCAGGATTTCAGGATAGGCCTTTTTATTAGAGCAGAATCTTCAGTTAAAGATCCCATAAATATATCAACGTGAGGTTGCACAGCTCCCATCAGAGATGGGTGGATAAATGGCCGGCATAAAGCAGTCCCCAAGATCTATTTTGGAAAAAAATACCATTTGGTTACGTGGTTTGATTCTCTTGGGAAAAAACCCAAAAACATGATCTGAAAATGATTTTAACAGAAAGGAGGCCAAATTGCTTCATGTAGAAAGTAACAAAACGCAGGTCTTTGAAAATCAGAGATAACTGTAAGCAACATTTGCCAATAAATTCCATGACCCAAATGATTCCACCTGCAAAATAACCTGCATCCTTCCCGGCTGCAAGGATTTCATTGGTCTTTATTAAAAAATCATTGGTCCTACATCACTAGAAACACTTGAGTTTGGGTGAGACTTCCTTTGATTCGTTTAGCTAAAAGCACAGAGCATGAAAGCTGTCCATCTCTTAGCTGACTTCCTGAAACACTAGTCAAAATTTTACTTTCCCACTGAGTTAAAGAGAAATTTTTGGAGATGTTTTATTTTAGTTCCTGATGGAACCCTTAGAGGGGTGTAATTCTGACCAGTAAGGGGGGATGTGGGGAGGCATACAGAGGGCAGAATATTAGGTGAGGTGCCTGGAGTCCTAGGACTGCTGTGGATTAGTGAACTTTATGCAAAGTACAATCTCTTACGTATCAGTTCCCTCACCTGTAGACTTACAATGCCTGTGAGGACTGTGAAAATTAGATAAAACTGAAAGCACGGTGCTTAGTAAACAGTAAGCACTCATATGTTAGTTCCTTTCTCTTTGATTAAGAGCAGACTTTGGCTGCTCTGATGAAAGTATAGATCCTTAGGAGAAAATGAAGAATCCTTTTTGATTTTGAAGAAAAGAGCTCCATTTCTGAAAGGGCCTTTGGGCACTGCTGTTACCCAAGACGTCATTTCTGTACATACTTCAGGAAAGGCATCCTCTGTCTCTCTTCCGATAGGCAATTCCAGGGTTGTAAACTCCTCATTAAGGAAACTTAACCTTATTACTGAAATACCTCGTAGTGCAATTTGAACCTTTCTTCTTGACTCTGTTCTTCATGGGAAGAAAACTGGGTTGATCCTATCTTCTTTTCAAGGGGTCATATTTGCCATTTATTATTGCCCTTTTTCCTCATTTTTAAAAACGACAGCCAGAAAAGCTCGTTAAGGTGGTAATTATTCCTTGAGGGAATGTCAGGATAGGTATTTATAATAAATTCTAAGCTTCTTATTGGTATGATTTAGATCATAATCTTATTGTTGGCTAACTCCTAAATTATGTATTTTTCTTTAACATAATTGATAGCAAAGTGTGCTTCTGAAGAATTATTCTGGTTGTAGAGCCCTACTTTCTTCCTGTTAGTAAAAATACAGTCATAATTCTAGTTATATCATCTGCTTTTAGAATTTAATTTCATAGATGACATTATTTGATAGATGTAATTACCTATGTTGAAATTTAGCTGGGATTCTTTCCCTGTTTATGTGTGCACTAAATTCTGAAATAACAATTGTAACACCAAATGTCAAATTAAGCAAAAATTCATGTACAGAATAACAAAAGATAAGAATCTGGTCTGTTAGGATAATTTGTAACTAGTTGATTGAATGCTGCATAGCTTTTGTTTAAGGTTAAGTTTTGCCTGGATTAAATAACAGTAGCAAGACTTGATAAACCCTCTGAAAAACAGCTGCTAAACATACTTTCTCAAATGTAATCTACAGGAATAAATAATCTCTTGTCCTATACAATTGCAGAATGCTAGTGGATCTTTCTTATAGGCTATTTGACAATGAATGCTAATTCATTTAAATAAAGTTTTAAACAACCCTCTTATCCCTTTAAGTTGTGTTGGGGCTCTCAAGTCCCTGCTACAGAACATTTCCAATGACTGAAACACCAGCTTCTAATTTCTGCTCCCTGCAGGGTCCGGTCCTCTAGACACACCAGATGGCCGGAGCTCCTTTGGCAATATGTAAGGGAGCTACGTCAATGCTAAGTGTGAGTGTGTGAGTAAAATTGCTGTTTTCAGCAGCAACCGCCTTTAAAAACCCCCAAATACTCAAAATTTCAGATAATAAAGGGTTAAGAACAGATTTTTTTTTATAATCTAAAGGGAAAAGTGCCCCATATATATTGCCACATACAGTTTAGTGCATGACTTTTAGTATAGAGATGAAAAATGCAAAATACGTCATTCTGGAAAGCTTCTCAGCAGCTAGTAAAAATATTTAAAGAAGCTGTTTTATGAAGATTTAGAGTCCTTGACTCCCCACCCCCGCCCATTCCCCATCTCTTCTCATTAAAACATAGACTTCAACTTAGTTTTAGTAAACATATTAGTCATCAAATCTTATGAACTCAATTCTTCATATTTGCTGTTGGTTTTAAGCATAGTCTCTCAGTAATATCTGAATACACCAGTGTATAAAATCTAACCTTCAGCTTTCCAAGACAATGCAAACATAACACTTGGCTCTAAATGTTAATCTGCAGATATATTAACAATATACTGTACATTGTCTTATGTGATCATGTATTCTTTCTTAATAAAAAGCCTGTTGGAAATATAAGCCCATAATGACCATTTTGTAGAAAGGTGATTATATGAAAACTTCAATCAGTGTTAAAAAGGAGGGATGAAGCTGCATCTCCCTCTAAAAAATTAACATATAATCCACACACCATATAATTCTGTGTATAGCATTTTTTGCTGTAGACATCTTTGTCAGAAAAACTTTTGCTATATAACTGTTCATCAGGCTATTTTGCTATTTAAAAAGAAAATATAATAACTTGTTTTTTGTTTGGTTTCATTTCTCCATTGACAAATCAATCAACCACTGTAAAAAAAGATAAAATAACTGGTTGATAGTTTGGTTAGTTTCATTTCTTCATTGACAAATCAACTACCTTAATGTTTTTAAGACAACACATTTAAGCTAATTGTCAGTTTGGTTTCATGTTCCCATTGACAAAATTCTCTGTTATTCCCATTTCAGTATTACATGTAAATCTCAGCTAGCTCTTATAATGGTCTACACAGTGATAAGTAAAGACAGTGAAAGTACTTAGAACCATACAGTTCACCCTTTTAAAGTGTACAGGTCAGTGTTATTTAGTATATTTACAGAGTTGTACAACCATTACCACTATCTGTTTCCAGAACCACCATCCCAAAAAGAAACTCCATACTCATTTGCAAGTTACTCTCCCTTCCTCCTCCCCCAGCATCCGACAAGCACTGCTTTACTTTCTGTCTCTACAGAGTTTGCCTGTCCTGGCATTTCACATAAATAGAATTATACAATATGTGGTCTTTTGTGGCTGACTTCTAAGTTTAGCATAATGTTTTCAAGTTTCATGCTGTAGCATGAATCAATACATTCTTTTTATGACTAAATAATGTTCCATTGTGTGTATGTATATACTACATTTTATTTGCCAGTTCATCAGGTGATGGGGATTTGGGTTGTTTCCACTTTTCAACCATTACAAATGATGCTGCTGTGTACACTGCT